GTGGTGTACACCACAGATCAGCTGCCAAAGCCTTGACCTTGCCATAGGGTCCAGCAGCCCGATCCTGACCTCCCACTGTGGCCATGCCACCCTCAGCATCCTCCTCTCCCCAGCCCGTATGCAGGGCTGCCTTTTTTGCACCACCCCCTTATGCTGTACTGGAGGATGCCTTGACTAATTCATAGTTCATAAATGTTAATAGTATTAATCTGATTCAGCGTGTGCTTAGCAAGATCAAATCCTTTATAAATCCAGAAGCGTCTGATCTCACCCTTCTGCTGCACAGCACAGCCGTCTTTCCTCCTTGCTTTTCCTCCCTGTCCCTTCTGCTGTGCACCCTCTCTGCTGTCTTGGAGGTGAATCTTTCTTGGCCTGGGAAGACCAAAGCCATCACTTTGATTTGATCCTCATCCTGCTGACTTGGGGGATGAGGCTGGAGACAGCCCCATGCCCAAGCCCTGACCTAGATCCTGCCTTTAAACGTGAGCACCTTCACTTGGGGTTTGCCTAAGGCAGTGATGGAGAAGGTGCCTGCTCAAGGAGAGGCTGAAGCCAGGCATTGTAGAGAGGCTGTGCAATGGAAGGCCTGCTTGGGCTCTCACCCCACTGCACAGATGCTGCCTGGAGGGTTCATTGCGTTCACACCCTGTTTCTGAGGGAAATGTCTCTGGGGCACAATGGTCCCTGAAGATTTGGTGGGGTCCATGGTGCGGGAGAGCTACATCTGGCTGAAAGGAAGATGTCCCATCCTATCCTATCCCATGTGTGCTGGAGGAAAAGAGAACATCTTGATGTGAAAGGGGTGTGGGGTAGGGAGATTGGTACATCCCAGCACAGTGATGCTCCATAGCCACAGCCACGTTTCAACACCACTGCTCCCTTTAATTGGCGCCTGATTTGATTCCACACGATGTCCACTTGTAAAACACCTCGAGATGTTTCTGTGAGGGTGTCCTGGAGATGCTGTTGTACCATCCTAATGAGGCTCAGCTGGAACATAAAGAGGAATCATTAGGAGCACTCCTGGTACAGTGACATACCAGCAACACCGGGAGGGATGCAGGGGTGCGAGATGGGCTGTGGTGGACTCACTGCTCCATGGGGATGCTGTGGGTGCTGCTCACCCTGCACCAGGCGATTCTGCATGCAGCATGGCACAGCAGCTGGGCAGCTGCTCCACGTGTTGCTAAGCAGTTCATGCACTCACGGTTCCCCTGCTCCTTCTTCCTCGGGTGATGGAAATACATTTTAATATCCGAGTAGCCGGGAAACATTCCCTATTATTGCCGTTATCTCCGGAGGGGTGGGGAAGATTGCAAAGCACTTGGCGTTTAACACCCACATATGGCTAACACCGTGGGCTGTGCGCTGATAAAGATGGGGTAATTAAAGTGCATTTTTTTTCTTGTGGACTAATCTCCCAAGCATGTATTTATGAGCCTGATTTAGAAACATCACATTACCCAGAGCACGGGATGTTTGTGTTGCTTGTAAATCCATCCGTGTTCTGAACAGAGCTTTTTTTTTCCCCTTCCTAAATTTAGGATTAAAAAGAAGCAAGCTCGGAGTTTTGATGGGTGTATTCTCCCCCTCCTTCTTGTCCTTTAAGTGAGCAAGGGAAGGTGTACAAAGCAAAGAGTAATTAACTGCACGAGATGATATTTCCAAGGTGTGTTTGGAGGGGCTGTTTGCAGTGCTTACACCAGTGCCTTTGGATTTATCTGCATTGTGCAGTAAGTGCAGAATCTTCACAGGGATGTGGTGCTTTGCAAGCACCGAGCTGGCTGCTGAGGGACCCATGTCTTCCCTGGGAGGACGGAGCTGGGCTCATTGGCTCCAGTGTTGAAAGGGAAGAGCAGAAATCCTTGGGTGGGAACGGTGGTGGTGGCAGCACCCCGTCTGACCACAGTGCTGGCTCTCCTCTTGTCTCCCAGTCTAATTAAGCTGCTGTTAATTGGATGGCTAGCAGGGAGCATCTCGGGTATGGTTCTACCCTGAAACAGAGCAGTTTGCTTTGCTTTCTGCTTCTTCCTCCTTTGCTCTCACTGGCTGGGGGGAGAGGCGACTTCTGCCTGTTGGAAAGCAGGGATTTCTTCTTCTCCTTCATCATCCTCATGTGTCCTGCCTGCTGCCTTGCCTGCTCCTTGGGCACAGGCTCCTCTGACTGTTGCTTTCCCTGCAAAACTGAGCGCTTGGGCACCCTCTTACTTGGTTGCAACCATCCAAAATGCAACAGAAACATGCTTTGTTAAAAGCAATAGAGGAAGGATTTATTAGAGCAGAGGAATACAGGGAGTGAGTTTGGTCTCATCCGTGCCTGGTCACTTTCTTCCTCTTGGGCTTTTTGGACCCCACAAGACCCAAACAAAGACTGGATAGTGAGGCTCTGGGGGCTTCTGAGTCACATCAGCTGTCCGTAAAGGTCTTGTATTCTCCCCCAGGCTTCCTCTTTTTAGTGAAGGAGGTTGATGCCAGCTTGTTTGGTGGACCTTGGTTTGCAACTCTGCATTTTAAACACCTCCCTGGAAGCATAGAGGTGACAAGGAGAGGAGGGAAAGAGCAGACTTCAACCAGGCAGGGCTCCCATTTGCAGTGTAGTGGCTCATGTGGTGCTGCCTGAGTTACCGAGCTGTGTTTGGATCCCCTCTCTGGGCCAAGGAAGGGATGGATCATTTTGTCTCACCTCTGACAGGAGCATGAAGCCTGGTGAGGTTGGTTTGGTTAGCAGTGGCTTGCTAAGAATGTATTTGCTTCTGGTTTCAGAGACCTAGCATGAAGCTGTTTATCTCCAGGTGGGTTTTTAAACACAGCACAGCAGTGCTTCTGCTGGAGCATCGGTGCTCCGAAGAGCAGGCAATAGGATGGAAAGTGGGAGCCGTGTCCTTCTCTTTAACAAACGAGGGAAGGATCTGCTTTTCCAGCAGCCTTTCTTCCAACCTGGCAGCAAACTGGCCCTGAGCAGGGAAGAGCTGAGCTGGAAATCCAATTTCTGCTCCAGCAGAAGACCCATTGCTTTGGTTTAGTTGCTCAAAGCCAACGCTGGGCAGTTCTGGAGGTCAGTAATTAGCACTGTGCTGGAAAAAAGTGGGGTGCAGGAGGCAGGGGAGAGGGGAAGGTTGACTTATGGGTGACTTTATAGCACATTGTCCCTTTCCTTGGGCAGCCAAGCACAAACTCATTGAGCTGTAATGAGCTTTTGACTGTTTCAAGCTCCTGTGCCCCTCTCCTCTTGCTCATGGGGAAAGAAGCAATCATGTGGACTGGTGGGGATGGGAGCTCCCAGATGTTGATTCCTCCAGCTCCACTGGTGAGATGGTGGAAGCTGCCATTATACCTGTTATTCAGGCTCTTTGTGAAGAGGGGATAATACTCATCTAACTCATAAGGGATTTGTGATTTAGTTTGCAAAGTGCTTTAATACCCTGGATTGAAAGGTGATCTATAATGGTGAACTCCAGTGTTCTCTGCTCTATTATACACTTGGCTGTGTCCATTTACCCTGGTGAGGCGTTTTTCCTTGCTTTTTCTCTTCTTTTTTCCCCCTCTTTTAACATTTGTGTAGTAGCTTCAAGCAAGAGCAGGGTTTGTGGCAGGCACAGTCTGCTCAATGAGTTTGCTTCCCAATGAGGTGCTAACTTATGCTGGTGATTTAAATAAAGATTGGGAAGGAAAGAAAAAGAGGGATCTCAAGGTGAAGGGCACAGGAGGTTGGCGATAAAGCTGTGAAATAGGGGTGGGAAAGCTGTTTAGATGATGCATGCATAAGGACAGTAAAAGATGCTTCATAAATAATGAATTTGCATACTCCTGTATTGCAGTGAGGGGTGTATTTTCTGGCAGAACAGCCACTTCTCCTGTCCTATGGGTGCTGGTTGGAGCAGGTCAGTGCAGGCTCCATCCTGCAGCAGGGAATGCTTTGGTGGGTCAACGCTCTGACTGGAAAACACAGATTGCGCCAAGCATGAGGTCTCTGCCATGGCACCAGCATCTCTATAGCAGCTTTGGTCACATTACAGGGTGTGCAAGTGCTAGCTTGCTGGGCGTATTTCCCGTTAATGTTCAGATTGATGCTTTTTAGATCTCTCTTTGCTGAAGAGATGGAGACCACCAGGGAGCAAGGGAGGAGAGGCTGGACTGGCTTCCAAGAAATCCGTAAGTGTCCTCATGGGAATCCTGAGGACTGCTGGGAGCGTGGTCATCTCAGCTGCACTGTAACAGACTGTGCAGTGGTTGGGATTAAATGTGGGGCTGTGCCTTGTCCTTGGCATCTCCATAGTCCTCAAGTGGTTTTTGATGGGCATCCCAAGCACTGGAGAAGGGAACTGGCTCTTTGTGAGGTGTCTATTGTTAGCTTTGAGCAGAGTGGAGTGCTCGTGCAAGATGTTGGACTAAGTGGCCATGGGGCATGTGGTGCAGTCAGAGCAGCAGTGGGATATCCCCGTGTCTGGAGAGTCTGAGGAGGGAGGAATAAGTGGTACCCAAGGATGCAGACTCCAGGCTTGCTCCCTTCTTGGGCAGTGGAAACCTGTTGATGGCATAGTGGTGGCCTGTGGACAGTTTCTCCTGGTTACCTTCATCAGTGGGGAGGGTGTCTCATTCAGACAAGAGCATTCCAATCTCTTGGGATTCTTCTCTCTCTCAATGACTCTGTTGCCCACTTTCACCTCTGTTTCTGCAGTTTGGGGGTTGCCCTGTCCAACCCAACTGTAGCTGATGGTGGTTAGGGTTAGGAGGGCTTCGCAGGCAGATGGTCCATACAGGGCTCTGAGCAGGTTTTCTCCCTCCTCTAGGAAAACATAGTCCCTAAGACAGATGTAACTCATGGATGTTAAACCCCAGCCAAGCATGATGTGATGGGTTTGGAGACCCTGAGGTCTCTCCTGAGCTATTCCAGTGCTACTGAGCTGATGTCTTCATTTTCAACCCCTTCCCTTCGGCTGGGTCTCTCCTGCATCCCAGCTACAGCTTTACCTTTACCCACTCCTCTGTCTGCCTTCCAGGTTCAATGAAGAGCCCCATCAACAAGACAGCGCTGACTCTGATCGCGGTGAGCTCCTGCATCCTGGCCGTTGTGTGTGGCTCCCAGCTCTCCTGCCCGCTCACCGTCAAGGTGACGCTTCACGTACCCGAGCACTTCATCGCAGATGGTAAGACCCCCAGGGGACTCAGACCCTGCTGCCCCATAGGCTGTATTTGGGACATGGGGGTCCCTTTCTTTGGGAATTGGCCTGGTTATGTCCAGCTGCAGGGATCCCCCTTCCCAGAGGAGCAAAGCACATCCGTGAGCCCGCGACCAAAATCTGAATCATGGGATGGTTTCAGTTGAAAAGGACTTAAAGCTCATCCAGTTCCAAGCCCTGCCATGGGCAGGGACCCCTTCCACTGGAGCAGCTTGCTCCAAGCCCCTGCGTCCAACCTGGCCTTGAACACTGCCAGAGATGGGGCAGCCACAGCTTCTCTGGGCACCCTGTGCCAGCGCCTCAGCATCCTCACAGTAAAGAACTGCTTCCCTAGATCTAACCTGAACTTCTCCTGTTTCAGTTTAAACCCATCATCACTTGTCCTAACACTGCTACAAGTAAATCTATTTATTATTATTATTATATTAATTATGCAAGCCTGAGGCCAAAATCTAAATCCTTATTGTTAATATTATTACTATTATTATCTTATTATATGATCCTGAGGCCCAAATCTCTGTAGCATCTTCTTATTATCATCACTACTACTACAACTACTATTAATTGTGTCTGATGGATGTTCCTCTTTTCCCACAAACTCGCTGACAAGCCCCGAACAGATATCCTCCTGTCCTGCAGCAGCCAAGCTGCTCATCCCAGCCCCTTGCAGCAGTGTGGAGTGAAATCGCTAGGGTTTGAGCCAAGGCACAGATGCTTTGAACAATTAGATGAGGGCTGCTGTCACTATTTATTGCTTTCTCCACCCGGGCTCCTCGCATTTGTTGTGTTTCACTGACCTTTTCTTTATAATGTGCAGCGAGCGTCGAGAGCAAGTTTTCGGTAACACGAGGGCAAATTTCATTTTCTTCCAGCAGACAGGAGCCATTATTCAGTCGGTTTCAATTCCTCAGCTCCTGCACTCATCTCCCTGCTTGGGGCACGCAGAGGGGACACTTTTTCTCTGCCAGAGATGTGCCACATGGAGCTGGTGCATCACCGTAGCTGCTGGGGTGTCCTGGCATGGCCAGCTCCTGTATAGCCCCCACTTTGGGGCTGGGATGGGGGACAGGTCTGGGGGAGATTAATACTTTGGGGAGAGGTGGATGGTGAAGGGGATGCAGAGGCACGGCAGAAGAAGGGGATGATGAAGAGGGGCTTAAACCATCACCCGGTGGTGGTGAGGGACTCACCAAGTGTTTTGAAGTAGGGTTCAGCCCTGCTAAGAGTGGTTTCTTCTTGTCTGTGATGGCACTTGTAGGCTGTTATGTGCACTGTAACAGTGACAGAGCATGTGCTCTCCCCAGCTCCACCACTGCTTTGTTTGACCCTACTTCTCTGTACCAAGTGATGCAGAGAAGTGTCTGCCTCACTAGGTGTGATGGGCATCATAAGTGTCTTATGGGATGGGTGTTGTGTGCAGTTGGTTGATGCCTCCGTCCTGGTGCATGAAGCTGCCTCTGCTCTGATCCCTGAGGATGCTTCTAAGCTGCTGACTCTGGAAATTGCAACCCAATCTCCGGGTACATGGGCTATCAAAGCTTGGTCCTTCCTTAAGGGAAGGAGGCGAGTGTCTGCTTTGTAGCCTCAGGTTGGAGGAACTGAACGTCAGTGGAGTGATGTGAAAAAGCCATAACGAAACAAGGGACTTTCTACACCTTGACCTGCTTCTAGAAAACTTTAAGGGTTGTCCATGCTGTGTATAAGTGTTCTGAAGCCTTCAGATTGTTATTCTGAGTAGCTGGAGAACAGAAACTCCTTTTTGCACTGGGGAAAGGAGGTTGCTCTGGTGTTAACTCGTGTCCCTTTGAGGTGGGCACTGGCCAGTTCATCCCTTGGCCTGGGACTTCAGAACTGGTTTTGGTACTTGTTGAAGATTATCTGGGAAGGGAGTGATGGGGATAGGACCTCAACATCCTGCTCCTGGCCCAGGGAAGGCAGCACCTCCTTGAAAAAGAAGATAAACCAGAATACAATGTGACTGTGTAGAATGAACACAGAAAGCTGAGCCTGTGCTTGTCACTGGGAAAGGGGTGGCAATGCAAATTATGCAAATAGGGAGAACACTCGAACGGAAATGACAATGTAATACCACTAAAACAGATTAATAGCCTCGAAACTGGGGGAAATGGGATGATCTCCAGTCCCAACTTAATGACTTTGCTGAAGAGAAAGAGGCGAGAGGACTGGTAGAACCAGCTTGGAGAAGAATTAAAATGAGCTTTGTGATGGAACTGTAAAACATAATTGCAAACTGCGAGAACTTTGTTAATATTTTTTATGAGAAACAGTCAAATTCCTCACCCAGAAGCAGCCAAGTACACTCTGCAGCGGCTATCACTTTCACTAAGATCTCATCACTTTATGCGATGGCAGAGTTCCTTGCCTGGGAAGAGAGAAGCTCTTAAAGTTGTCCCTTCTTTTTGAATAGCAACAAATCCCAAGGCAGCACCCAACTGGCAGCAAAACACTATAAAACATTTAAAGGCATCACAGAACCAAGCTGGGCTGGGAAATCTTAATGATACCCAGTGAAAACGGGGCTGGTTGTGATTGCAGGGGTTTGGCACCCGGAGTCTTTTGCTGGTGGAAAAAAGGGGGCTTGCTTCTCTCTGGGGATGCCCTGGGTGGGTTTAAAACTCCTTTTGCTTGAATGCAAAGGGGGGTTGGTGTGGGCTGATGTCTTCGGCCTGGCTGAGGCTGGGAGCTTTGATCATAGATTCCCAGCCTGGTTTGTGTTGGAAGGGACCTTAAAGCTCCTCCAGCTCCAACCCCTGCCACGGGCAGGGACCCCTTCCACTGGAGCAGCTTGCTCCAAGCCCCTGTGTCCAACCTGGCCTTGAGCACTGCCAGGGATGGGGCAGCCACAGCTTCTCTGGGCACCCTGTGCCAGCGCCTCAGCACCCTCACAGGGAAGAATCAGCCCTAACCCAGCCTCCCACGTGGCACCTGCTGGTGTGCACCATATTCGTAAATGTTACCTTGCACTTAAATATCTGCTTGCTGGAGCTGCTCTCCTCTGTATTTTGCATGATGATCAGGCAGGCTCCGAGAAGGCAGGGCTGGTGCATTCGCAGGAGGTGTTCCCATGTGAGAGAAGGGTGGGTGCCCTCTCAATTCCTTTTTGAAATACGGTGTTTCAATAGCCAAGGAAAAATCCTCAAGCAGAGCAGGTACCAACACCTCTGCAGGAAAAGCCAAACAAAGGCAGAGGCTGAAAGAAATTGCTCTCCTAGCAGATGAGAACTCATCTTTGAAGGGAACTTTAAATAGATGCCAGCAAGCTCCAGCAAGCCAGGAGCCAACACCAACTTGGGAAAAGGAGGGGTGCAGGGGGAAGCCCCATCAGATGCCTCCAGCTTTCCCTTCTGCAGCAAGCAATGGGGTTAGAAGGGGAAGCTCCTGAGCTCCCTGGAGTTGCAGCATGGGAAAGGGGAGGGGAAGGACTGGGACCAGAAGCCAACTGGCAGCAAAAGCTGGGGGGATATATTCCAAGCAGCAGTGTTGATGATCAGCCTGCATCTATTGCCCTTATTTCTCTCCCTCAGTTCATTTTCTTCCTTTTGTTCATTTGATGGGGTCCCCCCTCAGCTCCTCTCCCCCTCTTAGCAATTACTGCCTGGCTTGTACAGCTGATCTGCCTTCAGAGGGTGGCCAAATCCAGGGAAGCCTGGCAGAAGCATCCCTGCTCTTTGATGGTGGGGAAGGATGGGGACGTCCTGCCACTGAGAAATGGATTGGTGCCTCTAACCCTTCTCTTGGCATCTGATGGTTGGAGCATCCTCTTCCTTCTGCTGCTCCTGGACATCATGTTTAGGGACAGCCTCTGCCCGTGCTGAGCAGAAGGCATCACTCTGATTTTGGAGGTGGCTTGGATTTATAGAAAGGATGGTAGTGGCTTTTATGAGGATATGGAAATGCAAAGCATTATTTAGAGGACCCTTTAGTGCCAAAAAGGAGGAAGAAAAGAAAGAGAGCCCCTCCATGTGAGCAATAAAACTCTTTATGTGAATATGGGAGGCACTGGGCTCTGTGCATTCAATAGTTGGGGGTTTTTCTCCTCTTGTAAGTAATCACTCAAAAAGTAGAGATACAGCAATGGGAGCGGCTTGCAGGGAAGGCAGGGCTGTGGAAAGATGCCCCAGAGGCCTGAGCCTGGAGTATGTCCTTGCTTCACAACAGTTTGAAATATAGTGTCAATTAAAGCTTCCCATTTTTACAGCCTGCAAAGAGGTTATATATGGTGTGGGTGGATGTTTGGATCTGGATACTTTAGTGGGAGAGGGACGTGAGATCCTCTGGTGCATACTGAAGGAGGCAAGGCTACATTTAGCTAGGGGCTTGTAGGGCTTTGTTTTATAAGTGGAAATAAAGGGCATAAAGCAGGTTTCTGTCACTTCAAAGGTATCTCGGGGCATTCGTAGCCTCCTTCCCTCCTGTTGTGAGACACGTGCTGGAGGAGATGTGGTTATCCCTGTCTGAGCTGCGGGCTGGGTGGTTTATGCAGGTCAGGAGCACAGCGCAGCCCTCCTGCAGGCATGGATGAATTCCCATAGGATGCACACTGTCCTACAAGCCATAGGGGAAGAAGGAAACCCCAGCCCCAGCCCATTCAAAGCCAGGAGGTGGAACTGCCACTTGTGACCATGCTTTGGGTTTGATGCAGAGTTGGAAGAAGCTTCTTTGTGTTTTGCTTTTTGCTTCTAAGCCTCATGCGTCTGCGTCTTCCCGGTGACGTTCTGCGGTTGTCACGCAGCTGATGGGTAATTGTTTCATCTGAAGATGATTTCCTACCTTCCCCCACCACTGATCCCTCCAAGGCGCTGGTGGAATTGGATGCTGCTATTAGCAGCCTGTGTTAATTTCCCCCGAAGATTGCCGGAGCTCTGCAGTCTGCAATTGGGCTTGCAACAACTTCTCATTTTGGTTTTAATTAAATGTATTGCTTTAAATTGTTTGCTTTTGACATT